TCCAGGTTGAGCTGTTGTTCAGCATCTTAGCTGTGGAGGGCAGTGTCACTGGCCCTCATATGTGGGATCCGAACCGGGGCCCTCTGGCGTCCCAAGTCTGCTCTTAACCATCACGCCACTCGGCCGGCCCTATTGTTGTGCTTGTAAAACTACAGTCACTGAGCTTGGTGTTTTCCTCAGTCATAGTCTTTTTTCCCTACAGCGAATGCCATGAAATCCACAGTGTACAGTATTTCTCCTGCCAGCTCTGGAGAAGACCAGGAACTTTATGTCTGCACAGTCAAGGATGATGTGAACTTGGACACAGTGCTTCTCCCACCATTGTTAAAAGGCATGTCCCTTGAAGAACTCATGTGAACCAATAACAGATTCCATTGCAATTAGTAATGTGGTGGGTGATTGAGTGTAGGTTTCTTATTATCATGTTAGCCTCATTGTTTTTCTAAAAAAGAAACCTGCCTTCCAGAAATAAGTACTGGCACTACCTGAAGAGCCCTTTACAGACTTGTAATGCTACTTGAGTAGTGGTTTACCTAAGTGACCCCATTGTTCTCTTTTGGGCTAGCTGATGACCTGGAAAAATTTTTTTAGCTGTTTAATGAAAATTATGTCCTCTGTTTTCCTTTCTGCATATTCTTATGTTGGAAGAGACAGTGAGCAAGGGACATAATGTTGCTGAAATTTAAGAAAATCCATGGTGCTAGTGAAGAGATCATGTTATGCACATCGCAGGAGTTTAATAAAAAGAGTACAGTTTATAATAATGAGTAAAGAAGCCACTAGAATTAGGTAGGCATAACTGGACAGGGACGTTCTTTTTAGAAATGAGATTTTATTTTAATATTCTATTCAGGTGTTTGGTGGGCATGTATGAAGCCCGCTGCAGGGCTGTGGTGATGCATAAGCATAAGCATACCTTCAAGTCAAGTAGGGCCTTGCTGAGAGTATGACACATACATATGAAATGCAGTACAGAACACCACAGTAGTTTAGAGCCAGGGCTCTGGAGTTAGAAAAACCCGATGCTCTCGGCTCCTCCACTTACTGGCTCTGGAACCTCTGACAAGTGAATTAACTTAGGTAAGTCTTAGTCTTCTCATCACTCAAATGTGGGCAATGATGGCTCCTACCTCATGGGGTTCATTGAGGATTAAATGAAATAAATCACAATACATAATAAATATTCAATGATTGTTAGTTATGATAAGCTATTCACTGTGGAGGATTTAGGTCCATCTAGACAGTTCACACTCCGACAACTATGATAGGCCACGCTTGGCAATGGCTTTACTAACTTAGAAGAACACAAGTCAGGAAACACAGCATACTAACAGAACAGCAGCAGTCCTCACAGAAGTTTCCACCGCTATTCTCTGGATCCTCAAGGAATAGCTTAGGAGTGATGGCATGAGACCATGATGAATGGGGTGCTTAGAAGCCCAATGCCCCAACTAGGAACTGGTACCTCTTATAACAGCCTCATAGGCATAGCTTCCAGACCCTGCAGCTTAGGAAGCCCAAAGCTGTGGCTTGTCACGATGTATTTATAGCTTATTCACAGTTTTCCTAATCCAAATTTGGTTTCCAGTCAGGGAACAGGAACATTCTTAGCATAAGCAATGCTACCTGGCAACTCAGCTGACGTTCTAAGTTTATCAGGATCCTGGAAACAGCTAGAAAGTTAAGCTAAGTTCAGCATTATCCACAGAGAAGGAAAAGGGGTTTGTTAACTCGTGTTAAAATTAATAGCTCAGTCCACAATGCTTTGGTCTAAATGAAAAGCCAAAGCTAGATTGCGAAAGGCCACATAAGTTATGAAAGTATTTAAGAAGGAGACTGACGTGATTATATTTGTACTTTAAGTATGTAACTCTACCACTAGCTAATATGTTATTGGGATAAAAAAGAGAAGAAATTGGAGATGTTCGAAACAGGGTGTTACACTGATCCAGGTGAAAATGACTACTTATATACTAAAATTACTTAGGAGGAAACATGCAAGAGCATGTAGAAGAAAGATGGGTGGGTGACCAGCTGGTTATGAGGGAAAGAAAAAGGCTTAAAGTTATTCCAGAATTTTGGACCTGGTGACTTAACTGGTTCAATATGGACTGCTTTAATGTCTGGGTCAGAATATGGAGAGATTTACTATAATACATGGTATTAATTAAGATCTTTATAATTATTAGAGTTCTGGGACCAGGAAGCCTGGCCTCCATGTTTAGTTGATAGTAAGAAGGAAAGAACCTTAGTACTTATTAGTCATGAAAATAGGAAGAATTATTAGTATAGCTGAATGTTTCAGAGCATAGCTTTGGGTCTGCCAACAAAAGGCTTTGGTGATCGTGGGACAACAGTTTCAGTGGTATTGTGAAAATCTGGTTGTTGGTTGAACAGTGGATGAGGACAAATGAGGACATGGAGATAAAGCTCTTTCAAGAGGTTTGGCTGAGTGGAGAGGGGGTGGACAAAAAGCAAGCCTTTATATATATTTTTAAATGAATAGATGATCAGCACAGTGTACCTATGTTAGTAGAAAGCTTGTTCATTCCTGATGTTTTTTTCTCCAGAAATAGCAGTAAACCAGCTAGATCAACTGAGCCCAGAAGAACAGTTGCTGATTAAGTGCGCCGCCATCATTGGTCACTCCTTCCACCTGGATCTGCTGCAGCACCTTCTGCCTGGCTGGGACAAACAGAAGCTACTTAGGGTGCTGAGGGCCCTCATGGATATGCACGTGCTCCGCTGGTGCAGCAAGAGCCAGGAGCTTCCTGCTGAGCCAATCTTGCTGCCTTCCTTGATTGAGATTATTGAACAAACCAAAGAGACAAAGAAAACGTCGGGTGAGGAAGAGCTGCTCCCTTGTTCCCAGGCCTGGACAGAAGGCTTTGGGTGGTATCTGCGTTAAGAAAGAGCATCATTGTCATATATCAGGGGCCTCAGTCTCTTAACCACCCTGGCGGTAATCCCGAGTGTGGCTCCGGGTTAATTTTCACTGCCAGAAGCGGTAACCCCGAGGCCACACTTGGGATTACACTGCAGTGTCCCAGAGAAGTCCCTTACCTGCTCCCTGCGATCCTGCAGTGTCCTCCTGTGATCGCCAACAAGAAGGCCGGCCGATGACAAATTGCAGTGTTTTTTATTTGATTACATTATTGAATAAAATTATATTATTTTTTATAATTATTTATTATATTATAATTTATGATTTTGTGTTTCAAACTTTATCATACCTGGGATNTACCTGGGATGCCTACTAGACTCTTGTTTGGACAGATTTAAGTAAGTAATTCCTAAGAATTACAGGCCTACAATATAAAACAACAAATTTCCATGCAAAACAATGTACTGCTTTGGGTACAAAATTACTGACATAATCAGACCGCCAGGGAAGTTAAAGCTTATGGCTGAGAAATGGGGGAAAAAACAATTATTTTAATCACGAAGGAACCATGGTTATAGTGAATGAATAGCCTCAGAATTGTTTTAATTTTAAGAATTCTAGCTCCTTGTTAACCACAGGTGTTAAGTATTGTGTTTTGATTTTTGGTTCAGAAAATATTGCCATAATCTTTTATTGGCTTCAAAGTATAAATAATAAGGTAAAAAGGATAAACTACTCCTAACTTTAGAAATTAACAAAGAAGGTAAATACATGTGCTATTGAAACAGACATAAATAAGTTAACATATGCATTAAATAGCTTGCAATCTCATATTCTCCACATGAAAAAAATAAGATTGTGACTTAGAATACCCAAAGCACATATAATCCACAAATAATTTCCTTTTGACTTTGAAATATGTTTGGGCTTTATATTTGAACAGAGCATTTCTGATTATTTGATGTTTATAATAATTTGTAGTAAAAAAAAAACACAAAACCTCATTTTAGGAGGAACAACTAAGAAATCTACTTCTGTACCACTGATCATTTCTTTCCTGTGGCACTTCATACTAGATGTGGTCAATATCACTCTCAGATTGGTATAAAATTCTTCATACAAAGTAGGCAGTAACATCAAACAGGAATTATAAATGAAATTTTTTGTAAACCATAATAACAGCAATGTGCTTGGGAGTTTGCTACATAGTAGCATAAAAGGACTTTGAGGAAGACTCACTTGGATTTTTCTGTATTTCAGATGCTGGCTGTCCTCTCAGGCTACAGGAGGAACTATCCCTACCCCAAACCGTGGTGCTGGAATTTGGAGCGCCCCTGTTACGGGAAGCTGCGTGGGAGCTGTGGCCCAAGGCTCAGCTGATAGCCCTGCACCTGGAATGCGCCTGCTTTCTCCGAGATTTGGCTTGCCGCTGCGGGAGCTGCTGTGGCGGGGACTTTGTCCCCTTCCACCGTTTTGCCGTTGGTTCTACTAATTGCTCCAGGAGGACCTCCCGGTTCTGCAGTTACAGAAGTACTGGCTCGGTGCTAACACCAGTGATCACAGACAGGTTGCAGCTGCCTTCTCCCCAAGGTAAGCCCCGGGGGCAGAAAGGACACGTGGATAGCACCTCTCTGTATTCATAAACTTGGAGCTCTTCCTCCAAAAGGGAAAATCACAGGAAGGGAGAAGTAAAGGTGGAAAGAGCCATTTTATCCTTAAAGTGCCAGAGATAAGACACATGTAAGCTCAGAGTTAACGGGAACTTTAGAGATCATACGTACTTGTTTTGGTTCAAGTCAATCTTGGGCAAGTTACTTAACCTCAGTTAACTGAGGAAAATAACAATGCCATCTTTATAGGGTTGTTGTATAGAGGATTGAATGAGTTAAAATATATAATGTGCTTTGAATAGTGCCAGGCACATTTTAGTTATCGTTTTTTATTATTATAATTATTCAGTTCAGTACACATAATAAATGCCAAAACATGTGTACACATTTTAAGAAAGGGAAAAACTGTATTAAAATTATGCTGATGGTAACCACTTTGAGCACCTCTTGTAATTGCCGGAGTCAAATGTGATATATATTCATCTGTTGTTCTTGTTATATACTGAGTATTACAATTTTAATAGTTTTTTCCTTTCTTAAAATGTGTATACGTCTTTTTGGCACCCTCTGTATATGGAGTCTATGTGTATCAGATGTTGCAACTAGGTGTTAGAATATGAAGAATAAGCCTTGGTCCCTGAAATTATGGTTTTTTTCGGGGGTGATCCAGACATATGGAGAATTCCAATGTGACATGATAAAGGTGATGAAAATGGCACACCTGGGGGGTGGGTCGCCTAGAGAATGGGCCATTAACCCAGCCTAAGGAGTGAGCAGGAGAGGACTCTTCCTTGAAGGACATACTGCCAGAAGCGAGACTTGAGGGGTAAGTAGGAGTTAGCTTCTTAAAGAAGGTTGGATTAGTGGGTACATGGCCCCCAAAGCCTGTAACCCTATACCACATCACAGATGAGAGCTGTTGTAACATTTTCAGTTAGCTGACCTTACAGGACAGCCTGTTGCATTGCCAACAGCTATTAGAAAGTTTCTCCTTTCATCCATGTGAAATCTACCTTCCTGCAGCTGCACCCATTTTTCAGAGCTGGGCTTTCTTCCACAGTTGAAGACAGCTGTCAAGACCCAACCATTCTCCTTTTCTACTTTGATAAAAGAGAAGTTGGTATTGGTGTTGGCAGGGGAGAGGGATATGGGAGAGATGGTGAATTATTGGTGGTAAAGGACTAAAACAAAGGATTTAATCTATGATCCTAAGGCCTCTTCTAGCTGTCTGTAACATTCTTATGAATCAGTAACTTGGAAGAATTGGTCATTGGCTGATGAACTCCATGAGCATTTGCCGTTTTGCACTTTCTGAGCTGAAAGAGGAAAATAACAGTAAATGTCCTAGTCTGGTACTGTGATGAAATCATGCTATCATTCATATTTCCTACATGGCCTTTTGTTGTTGAGAGGTCAATGTCAGCTTTAGATTAGACAGCCTGGTCAGTCTATGTGAGAGGCTCAAGATCTTCCCACCACAGTCAAACCCCGAGGAGGCTTCCCAAACCCAGGGCCCCTGTGCCTGGCCATACAGAACGGGTACTGCACAAATGTAGAGGGTGTGATTCACACAGGCTGTGATGTGATGGTGCCCCTGGGAACTGTGCATTGCAGTAGTGCTATTGAACAACAATATCCTTAGGTACCTTAGCCTTGCCTTATATGACATCGTTAAATAATCAGAGAGCCAGTCCTGTTACTTAACACAAGTCCTCCCTATAACAGTTCTAGACTCCTTTTCGATCTCCCCACCCATGCTTCTAAGCCCTAATATGTAACTTACCAACATCATTCCCAGTCTTTGCTTTGTGATCTTGGAGAAGAAAGCTGCCAAGGGAAAGTCAAATCTAGAAGATAAAGGCTATTTAAGGCCAACTCAGTAAAGCTGAAAACCTCTACTGGCCACTGAGATGTGGCATCTTGCACTGTCATGATTTTCTTTACTAGGTCTTAGGATCTTTGGTTCTTTGGTTCACTCTGATCTGTTCACAAACCTGATTCAGACATATTCAGGGATTTCTACTATTAGAATTAGCCATCAAACCAAATGGACACATGCTTTATTCATTTATTTCGCAAACATTGAGTGTCTCCTGCAAATTAGGAACTGGCTTAGGAGGTTGGAGAATGAAAGGAGTTACTATTTGAATAAAAAATAGTTGCCATTAAGGAATTTGTGATCTACCATCCTAATTTTGTGTGTAGGTTAATATTAAACCTAAACATATTGTTTTTGTAATGGGCAAGGCAGTCATGTCATGAACTAAACTGCTGAGGAAAGGTGGTCAGGAATTTAAAGTGTCTTCAGTTAATACAAACATGGTTAATTAAAGATAATCACCCTTTTCTCCTTGCAGATAGCTTTCAGTTGCAGACAGAACCATCCAGAAGTCTGGAGGCCTTCATAAGTGAACACTGCAGGTAGATGGAGATGCTGAGAATGGGCATGGAGGGGGACAGACAGTGAGACACAGATGACCCTTAAACTGGGACGCTCACCTTGCCTGCAGACCAGGAAGGCGTCTGACCCCCCAGAAGTAGTGACTCTGTATCAGCCCCATATTCAAGTTAGTAGAGATTTCAAAAGGCAATCTTTGATTCTTTGTAGAAAAACTATTTCTTAGTGGTTAAGAAGAACTTTAATAGCTCTCAAACACATTGCACATATAGCAGATTTTTTTCAGCTATAAATTTACCTTCTCAATTATTTTTTACCCCAAGCTAATATTAAAATGAATTTACGTTCCCCAACCATGTACCTCCTGGCTTTCGAATGACTAGTCCATCAGTTTTAAATGTCTCTACCTTGAGTTCCCCAGCCACTCTGAAGGTTTACATCTCCCTTATCCAACTTGATATCCTAGTTTTCAAGCAGAAATCCATCTGTATTTGACACAAATCACCTGTATACTCACATGTGTATCTGGCTCACACAAGTCTCCCTTTTAAAATTACTAAGTGGCCTTCACACATTCTTCCACTTATCAGAATGTTCACTATCCTTCAAAACCCTCCTCAGTGCCCACTTTTTTCGATCACTCTGTCTCAGAGAGACCTGACCTCTTTTGACCTCATGTTATCTGTGGAAAGTGTGCTGGACCAGTACAGAGAGGTGAGCTCTAGTTTTGGTTCAAATCAGTAGCTGTGAGGCCATATATGCCACTTAAGCTCTCTGAGCTTCAATGTTTTTCATCTGGAAGAGGGAGGTAACTTTTTCCTGCCCGAATGACGGGGTTGTCATAGGATAAAATGGTGGTGGTATATAAAATAATACTTGAATGTGCCATGACAAAGTTCAAACATGCCAGTAGATAAATGTATTGTTATTTATTGCTTTGTATCACTTCTATGTTTTTGTTTAACATATTGTTAGTTTACTTTTCAGCTGTGGTCACTTCCCCATTTAGTTTGTGTGGTATTTAATCTGGCTTTAGGTTTTCAAAAATCCGTAATAGGGCTTCGTCATTATAGATCAGGTCCCTGACTTTCAAAAACTTATGGAGTGATGGAGGAGAAGGATAGACATAGAATTAATGAATTATAAAGGAAAGCTTCCTGGAAAAAGTGGCTTGGAGACCTGGGAATGCCCCGACAAAAGTGGCTGTTTCCTGGCCACTCAGTTCTCATCTTCTCTCCACAAAGAACAGAGGATGAGTTCCTGGATGAAGTGAACAGGAGGCTGGCTCAGACCAGCCACAAGAAAGACAGATTGGCCACAAAGCCCTGTCACTGTGAGCAAATCCTGAAGTCGGTGCTCTCACCTCTCACCCAGCACTGCCTGGTCATCGGAGAAAACACTTGTGCATTTTATTACCTGCTGGAGGCTGCTGCCGCCTCCCTGGACCTGTCTGATAATTACATGGTGAGCGAGCTCTGCTGTCTGCCCCTGAGCTGAGCCTTTTACTTGGGGAATTCAATTGGGATTTCTTACTATCAAGTAACCTGGAGTGAGAAGTGGAAGAAAGTGAGAGAGAGAGGGGAGGTGGATGGGGTTAAGAGAAAACAGGAAGTGTGAATGTGGTAGTGAAAGAGAGTCAGCCACTGCCTGCCTGCCTGCCCCTAACCCCTGCATGTGCAGTGCAGCTCCCTGCTTCTCACTCAAAATCTAACCGGATTCAAATGCAAATCTTGACCTTCATCATAACCTTCCTCCGGCCTTCATCTTATCATACCCCTATCATCATCTGAATCCTAATCCAGTTTCTTCATCTCTTGTCTTCTTTGGAGGCCTTCTTTTATTTGAGAAAGGCAAGTAGTCTTCTGGGCCAACCCTCAGCATTCTCATTCTTGAAAAAGCGCAAGGTGAAGATCTCTCAGTTTGAGGAGGCCACTTTCTGCCATCTTCGGTCAGAGGTGAGGGCAAGGGGTGACCTTGAAGTTTGCATTATTTCTCCTTGAGGGTTACCCTTTTATTTCTTATAAAGTCCCTTCATTTTTTGTGTGTGCAGTTATAAATGTGATAGTGTGATAATAGGCATACAAATTCAAAACATAAAAATATATAATACGTACAAAGTGAAAGAGCCCTCGCTAATCCCATGCCACCTGCAGCATAGTTAGTAATTTGGTGCAAATTCCACCAGCAAATACACATAGTCATATCGTTATTGTTTTTGTTGTTTTTAAAATAGAATCATATTGCTCATTCTCTTCTGTAGCTGACTTTTATTCTCAATAGTACAGATTGAACATATTTGCATATTGGTCTACATCTAATCACAGTTACAACTGCCAATCACTCCACTGGATGCATATATCAAAGCTTACTTAACCGTTCCCTTCTTGTGAGCATTTAGGTTGTCTCTAGTCTTTGGTTATTGTAAACATTACTATGGTGAACCTCCTTATAAATATCTCTTTCTTCCTTTGTGAGAGTGTTTCTGTAAGAGAAATTTCCAGAGATGGAAATCCTAAGGCAGAAGACATGAATGATTTTACATTTAGTAAATATATTGCCAAATTGTACATCAAAAATTTATATCATTCATTCAAGCTTTTTCCATATCTTCATATCGTTACTAACATCAGATATTATTAGTCTTTTTAAAACTTGCTAATACATAAATGAAAGTTATATTGTATTTTAGTGTGTATTTCTTAATAAGATACATTATTTTTATATGTTTATTGGTCACTGATTTTTCTGTGACTTGCCTAGTCATGTCCTTTCCCCATTGGAATATTATATATATGTACACACACACACACACACACACACACACACACACACACACATACACACACATAGGGGTAGGGTGGGGAAAATAGGTAAAGGTGGTCAAAAGGTATAAACTTCCAGTTATAAGATAAATAAGTCCTGGGGATGTCATGTACAGCATGGTGACTATGGTTAACACTACTGTGTTGTATATTTGAAAGTTGATAAGAAAGTAGATCTTAAAAGTTCTCATCACAAGAAAAATATGTGTAAGTGTGTGGTGATGGATGTTAACTAAACTTATTGGGGCAATTATTCTACAATATATACAAATATTGAATCATTATGTTGTACACCTAAAAGTAATACAATGTTATATGTCAGTTAAGTCTCAATAAAAAATATCACGTTGCCCACCTTAAACTTAAATGTTATGTGTCAAATATATCTCATAAAGCTACAAGGTGTGATTAAATAATATGGTGAGTGTTTTTTTTTACAGTGAATGTTTAAATAAAAAAATGTATTACAATAAAAGACACATTCCCATTAATCCCCCTCAAAATACTGCCCCTCGCTTTGAACACACTTGTCTCATAATTCTTGCCACTTTCTGAAGCAGTTCCGGAAGTCCTCTTTTGTGAATGTCTTTAGTTGCGCTGTCGTGGCTGCCTCAATGTTCTGAATCAATTTAAAACATACACCTTTCTTGGCCATTTTGACTTTGGGGAAGAGCCAGAAGTCACATGATGCCAGATCCAGTGAATAAGGTGGATAAGAACACACCATAATGTTTTTATTTGACAGAAATTGCTGTACCAGAAGCGATGTGTGACACAGAGCCTTTCTGTTGTGATTAACAAATATGGTGAATGCTACTGCTGAGTGCCATCCAATGGAAAGGCAGGGATCTTTAATATGGGAACCAGTGCATTGAACCTTAGTAACAGTGTGTGACAAGTTTCAGCTTTTTTGGTGTAGTCAGTTGGGTGTGAGCTATGGTTGAGAAAAGGTGTGTTTTAAAGTGTGCTATAAATCATCCTCCATCATGGCAATGCACCATGTCGCACATCACTTCTGGTATACAGCAATTTCTGTCAAATAAAAACATTACAGTGTGTCCTCATCCACCTTATTCACTGGATCTGGTACCATGTGACTTCTGGCTCTTCCCCAAAGTCAAACTGATTCATAACATCAAGGCAGCCATGACAGCACAACTAAAGACACTCACAAAAGAGGACTTCCAGAACTGCTTCAGAAAGTGGCAAGAACAATGGGATAAGTGTGTTTGAAGGGGGGAGGGGGTATTTTGAGGGGAATTAATGGCAATGTGTCTTTTACTGTAATTAATTTTTTTTATTTAAACATTCACCGTATTGTTTGATCACACCTTGTAGAAGAAAAAAAAAAACACACAGCTGAAAGTCTGCCCAGTCCTTTCCCTCAGCCACCATGTCTCCTTCCCAGTGTTATGTATCAATGTGTTCTACAGAGGGGTTTGGCATACATAAATATATATAGTCCCCCCCTTCCTTTTTCATCTTACCTTTTTTAAAAATATATATTATTCTATATCATTTATAACAAATTTCCTCAGGGAATGAGATTAGCATAACACATAGAATAACTCTGAAGAAAGCATGCCATGAGATACCCTGTTTTCAAAGGACATATAGGAGTAAACTTATTTATTGTATATCAGTAACTCAGGACAGCTCAGTGACTTCTCTTAGCCTCATTACTATTAAATCCAATAGAACATAATGCGTTGGGATAATTATTTAGCAATTTATAGATAATTACTCCATAAAACCATGGGAGGTATTTTATTAGAGAGCCGAACTTCAAAATTTTTTTAATTAAAAATATAAAATTAATTTCAATGTAAACCTTAAGATAATCTGGTTAGGAGAGTAAAGTTAATGTGTATAATGCCTTTGAACACCAAAGGGAACACCAGAGTTGTCCATGGCATTGCATTATTCGTGTTTCAACCACGAAGTCTTTGGAGCAAAGTTAAATAATTATTTCTTTTCATTGATAAGAAGTTATTGTGCAGTCTTCCCAGGATTGTTCTGGAGCCACCATAGCCTTGATCACTGTCTTGGAGGGCGTAGCCTTAGAATATGAAGGTACCTCAAGGTAGTTTCCCAGCCCCTCCCCCCACATTCACTGCGGTGGTGCTGCCTGTGTAAGAGGAGAGAGATGGGACGTGGTGGCATCTCAGATGCTTTCTGGGACATCTGAAGCATGACGATTTCATCTCAGACTAGCAGGATCAAGTTCTAAGTCACAGCCTTCCTCTACTGCTCACTAACAAATGTGTAGGACATGAGAAAGGAGGGTGTTTTCTCCTTAATCCTATTTCCTCACTCCTTTACTTGCTCATGGCTCTACCGGTGCTTGTTAAGTGTCTCCAGGCTCTGTTTCAGCTCAGCTCCTTCTAGCACCTTAGCGGCCCCAAGTACACATCCCAAAATGAAAGCTCCAGTGCGTTATATTCAGAACCTTATCCATAGTACTCTTCACATGTTTACATTACTATTTCTTATTTTCCCATCCCCAGGTCTGTTTCAACATGGGACAGATCGCCTTGGCCAAAAAACTGGCTAGGCAAGCCCTTCGACTGCTGAAAAGGAGTTTCCCTTGGACCTGGTTTGGTGTCCTTTTCCAAACATTCCTAGAAAAAGATTGGCATTCCTGTTCCCCGAGCCAACCTTCAAACAACCCTAGTGAGAAGTGAGAAGCCTGGCCAAGTTGCCCTGTTCCCCTTCAGGCCGACCGAGAGCCAAATTAGTACCCAGCCTAGAGTTTTGCCATATTGACCTGAGACTCCTTTTTTCAAGCATATCACAGACAATTCTAGTTCTTTCTACCTTACTCAGCTAATTATATGTAACAGAATGAGAACTTTTTTGTTTTGAGAGTGTGGTGTTACCCTGTCTTTTTCAAATAAGGATAGATATATAACTAGGTAGCAATTTAATAGGTATCTATGTATAGATATATAGATATCTAACTAGGTACCAATTTAATATTATCTAATATCTGTCTCCCTTGGTTCCAGGGAAACAGTAAGTGAAATGTGTAGTATGTTAGGTGATAATAAATGCCATGGAGAAAGATTAAGTGGAGGCAGGGGGACATGGGGTTTTTAGGAGAATAGATACATAGATATATACATAGCAATTTAATATTAAATTGCTACCTAGTCATTGAGCTGAACATAGGAAATATATTCAACCAAAATAGCAATTCAAAGAATGAACCTTCATAAAACACCTCTCTGAACTTTTCCTGATCAAGAGGGATACGTGAAAAGGCCTATGGGCTTAGAAGTAGTGGAATCCCAGAAACAGTTCTGAGTTTGGAGGTCTGTAGGTGGCGCCCTGGTGATAGACTTGGATTTCCTGTGGGAGGGAGAGCAGGGTATGGGTGAAGAGTGAGGGCATGCCAGCCACCCTGTGCTTCCTGACAGGAAGAAGAGCTTGGCTGTCCTGCAGCAGCAGGTGCACTGCCTCTCCCTGCTCGGGCAGCTCTATAACCTGGAGGCCACACCCAGCAGCCGCAGGTTTGCCTGCCTGGCTGCTCTCATGCAGAAGAATTCAGCCGAGGAGCTTGCGCATGACCCCCAGGTAAACAAATGAGTCCTTGCTTTACCTCCAGACCTTGCTCAGAAACCTACAATGCTAGGGAGAGAGGCCCTGCCAAGTTCCTGTTTTCGTGGGGTTCCACAGGAACCTAGACTTACCGGGGCACCATTGATCATGTGTGTGGGCAGCGTTTCTCAACTTGTTGTATATAGATGGGTTTTCTAGGTGTGAGGCTATCTGTGAATTCCCTGAACTGAATTTAGAACTTTGTATATTCAAAAGAGCATTGGTGGAGTGGTTAGAAGTAGGGAAGAAGTCATAGCTTTCATCAGATTTCTTAAAGAAGTTCATCATCTGAAAAAGCACTAGAATTGCTGACTTTGGGGGGGAAAGGAAGAGAAATGTGTCTTTCTAATTTTAGTGTTTTTTTTTCTCTCTCTCTATCCCTCCCTTTCTCTCTTTCTTCTATCCACTTGTTCAACTATTTGATGAACACCCATTATATGCCAGGCAGTAGTCTTGGTTCCAGGGATACAGATAAGTGAAATTTATAATATGTTAGGTGACAATAAATGCCATGGAGAATGATTAAGTGGAGGTAGGGGGACGTGGGGTTCTAGGAGCCTGCGGGTACAGTTTTAAACAAGATGGCCAGGGAAAGCCTCACTGAGCAGGTGACAGTTGGGCAAATATCCAAATGAGGGGAGAAAGTAAGCCACAAGGCTGTCTGGGGGAAGAGTGTTCAGGCCGAAAGCACAGTGAATGCACAAGGCATGCCCTCTGTGTTTGAGGAACAGAGAGGAAGCCAGCGTGACCAGAGGGAGAGTCAGAAGATGAGTCAGAGAGACTGGGAGCCGTGGGTGGCACATGGTACAGGCCTTGTAGGCCACTGTCAGAGGTTTGACTTTGGGGAAGCTATTGGTGGGGGAGTGACAGGGTCTACTTAATATTTTAATAAGATCATTCTGACTACTATTTGGAGGATAAATGGAAGGCAAGAGATGGTTGACTTTGATTGTTGTGGTGGCAGAGGAAGTGGGGAGGAGCGGTCTTCTATCAAGAGAGAGCCATCAGGATTCGCTCATGAATCAGTTCATGATGTAAGAGATAGAGAAGCATGAAGGATAACCCCAGGATTTACAACCTGCACTTCTAGAGGGATAGAGAGGCCTTAATTGGGATGGGGACGTCTGCAGAAGGAACAGATTTGGAGGAAGATGGGGATCCAGGTTTTGGACATTTTAATGTTTAATTTGAGATGCCCATTAGACATCCAGGTGGAGATGTTGAGTAGGCAGTTGAATATATAAGTGTGGGGTTCACAGGAGAGGCCTGGGCCAGAAATAGAAACATGGAATCATCAGTGTGTAAATGGTATTTAAAGCCATGAACATCGGTGAGATCACCAAGGGAATGAGAAAAGGTCCAAGGACTGAGTTAACAGCTCCAATGTTAAGAGGTCAAGGTCATAAGGAGAAACCAGCAAAAGAACCTGAGAAGTTCTGGAAAACCAAAAACGGTGTGGTATCCCGGACACCTAGTGAAGACAGTGTTTCAGAAACAGAGTTATCAACTATGCCAAATGCGCACATAGCTCTAACAGAGATCTGGCAGCAGCCCTGGAGAGCTCTCGGAGCAAGAGCCAGAGGCCTTAATTAGAGAAAACACAGAAGAGGTTTGGCCAGTGTTTTGAAAGGAAAAGTCTTGGATTGGAGAAAAAGAAGAGGGGCAGGGAGAGAAAACGGTTTGTTTAAAGAACAGGCAATGAGAACGATCAAATTAGAAGCATAGGCATGAGAAGGAGCGTGTTTTCACTGCTGGGGCAGAAGTGAGCGGTCGGGACACACCAGGAGTCCTGACTGAGTGAGCAACATGGCACCAGAGTGTGTCAGTGCACAGGAGAGGGGCCAGGTGGAAACGCCGTGTGGCTGTGCAGTCAGAATGTTCTGCCCCATGCTTGTTGCCCCGCAGGTTGTCTCCACCTACGTGGCCCTCTCGCAGTTCTCCCAGAATGTGGGTGACAGGGACAAATGGCTGCACTGCGAGCAGATGGCCATTCAGAAGAGCAGCCTGTGCTGGTTCTCCAGGGAGGGACTGCTGGCCACCGCCCGGCTCCTGCAGGCCCTGGCCTACACCAAACTCTGCCTCGGCCACCTTGAGTGCTCCATCAAGCTGGGTAACGGGCTTGGGGCCAGAGGGCCTAGGCTTTCAGAGGGGCCAGGCTCAGAGCCGGACTAGACCTCACACAGTGTCTTACCTCCTTAGGTTTTCAAGCCCATGAGATATGCAGACACCTCAAAAGACCAGCTCTGGAGAATCTCGTTCTCTCAGTTCTCTTCAGATCTGCATTTCTGAAGAAGAAGTATTAAGATCATTTTCTGTCATTTTCTGTACTTGTTGGCTAAGAGGGGAGGGTATGGTGTCCCAGTGAAGTCTGGAGTGGAGAGGGAGATGCTGTTCATTTCCACAGCCAGGCTGTCTCTTCTCTAGTCACCATAGGAAGCATTGTCTTCAGTGTGGGGGTCAGAGGGGGCAAGTGCAGAGTCTGAGCTGCTACATATTTTTATTTTTTCTTTAGGAAGGTAGAGAACAGCAGTAGTTCAAGACCCTGGAAACTGTCTCAGAAGCATTTTCCCACTTCCTTTGCTTAGAGACAGCTCCGATACCAGGCCCAGATGCTCTCTACCTAAATAGAGCTGTGGCGAGGAGACCCAGGGGATGTTAGGCCACTTTGAGGGTGTAAGATCCCCTCCTCTCCTGAACCATCCTCCCCACTCCCAGTGAGCTCTTCCCAGTGGCTCTGTCTCTCGGCAGATTTGATCTGTGTGTCCATGTGCTGGAGAGTCAGAGGGCACTCATTTCCCGGTATCACGATGTCCTTGGCCTCGCCTGCTTCTATTCTGCTTGCTTAGATCTGCTGCTCTATGGAAAAGGTAAATCTTGTACAGGGCTCTGCTGTCCTCCTGAGGGACTCAGACCTCAGATGGGGCCCTAGGTGTGGAACACAGGCATTCGCGAGCCCACCCCTCTGGCATGGCCTCTGCCCCTGGCCCTTGGCTTCATAAAATCTAGGAACCACAATGTGACTCAAGGGTGTCTTCCTTTCAGATATTGCCGCCTTCCCTGTACCACACACCTTCTATACCGTGTTTCCCTGAAAATAAGACCGGGTCTTATATTAATTTTTGCTCCAAAGGATGCATTTTATTCATTTATTCATGTACAAAAATCTACATGTATTCAAATACAGTCGTGTCTGGCTGACGATCTTCACTGGGGCTTATGTTTGGGGTGGGGCTTATATTACAAGCACCCTGAAAAATAAAGCTAGGGCTTATTTTCTAGTTAGGTCTGATTTTCGGGGAAACATGGTATTTCCTACAGACAATGTATACCAGCCGGGTTTCCTTCTGTGTCCATAGGATCGCTGTGTCGGCCCTTTGGGGAGTGTCTACATTTCATTCAACACTATGAGCACAGCTGCGTTCTAACCTCTCGGAGCAATGTCATGCTGGGGTTCCACTCCTCTCTGGCTCTGTGGTAATGTGGGCTCCCAGAGTCTTACCCAGGGTCTATGGGAAAGGGTAGAAATTTAAGGACACTAGGAAGTGATTTAAGCTATACCTTTTACCCCTCCAGGCAGGACTGTTTTGTATCTCTTAACCCACTTCTAAAGACCATTCGCCTCCTATTCCACCTTCCCATCTTATTAGAAGAGTTCTGTTTTTATTCTTGTCCCTTATCAGGTTTAGACCAGGTTGAGGGATACACCTAAGTGCTAGATAACCCATGGCAAGGCTTAATATCACTGGTCTCCCTTCAAGTCTTCTTGCATGCGAGTTAGTAGCCTCGGCCACTTTCCAGCAACACAATTCTAGCTATCCGGGAGGTCTTAGAGTCTTAAAGAAATTACGGTTCTATGAAAGAGCCATGGCTGGGAAGCGAGGGACACAGAGAGCTAAGAGCTGTGCTTCTTTCCCTCCAGGTTTGCCCAACACTCGCAGTGGGACCTGTTTGAACACCACTTCTCCAAGGCTCACCAGTTGGTGAAAAGAACCAATGCCTCACTGTTTGGTTCACATGGCTTTGTCCGATTCCTCGAGTGTCACGTGCTAATGTTACAGAAACTGCCAGGGGGTGTCTTCATGCATATTCCCCCAGAGACTCACAGTCAAACCCTCAAGGTACCTGTTTCCCCACTGTCCTTCAGTTAACACCTAGTTATAGTTTGACCCTGTGGTACTCCTGCCACCTGCACCTGTCCCTGACTTATCTTTGCTGCCTCTGTCTCTTTTTACCTCTTGAGCCCCCCGCCCCCCACCTTTTATTTTCCTCCGCTTAGAAAGCCTGTACACCTACCTCATGTACCCTCCTAGATATTCTTGCATGTAAGTCAGGACTGGATTCCCAAAGTAGATGCCTTTGCATAGCCACTACCCAATACCATTAAAACGTAAACACTTAGCCCTCTTCAATGGACCCACTCTGTCTAAGTCTATAATTTGACACATCGCCCTACGGCCTTCTGAATTAAAGACATTCCAGTTTCTGTGTACCTAAACCAACTTTCTGGGCCTCCTTTGCTATCAGTAACTCCTCCTTGTCCCCCCAGCCCTGAGTGAGCATGCTGAGTGGGGGTAGAGTGGAGTGGGGGGAAGACAGTGCCAATCCCGGCGCTAATGGACCTGCCTTTCCTTTCAGTACTTTAAGGAGTTCTTCTCTCGGTGTGCAACCTGCCCTGTCTACTACCAGTGGGTGTCTGAGCTTAAAGCCTCCGTAATGAGATGTGGAAAGAGAGAACTCATGTCCTTGACAAACATTACCCGTCCTTTTGACACCTGCTTGACCAGGATTTGGGTAGAGGGAGAATTCCTGGAGGAAGACAACTCCTTTGAAGACAGTTTAGGAATATAGAGTAAGCATTCCTTCCTGGAACCCTGGAACCCTTATCTGAGAGACATAAAGAACAGTCTTGGAGTCTTAGAAAGGCTGCACCTCCAAAGTAAGAAGGAACACGCAGGTATAAGGAGTTAGTCCTTCTTCTGGAGTTAATTACCGTCCTCTCACTGTGCTGGACCAGCCTAGAAACAGGGATCCTTATATTGTTAATAATGTAAGCGCCTCTCACACACCTTTGTTTCAACATCTAGAATCCTTAAATGTAGAAAGTTCCTTCTTGGTCCCAGCTTAAACAACTATATTGTTCCCTTGGGGTAGTTGGATGGTCCCTAAGAGAGAAAAAATACCTTAGAAATCACAATGTAATGTTTATGAAGGTAAATGGTAAGATATAGGCAAGAAACAAAGAGGAAATGATATAGCTCCTTGTCGTGGGGCCCAGCAAATCTCCTTTTCCAGGGTCACGAGTTAAATTTGTAATTCCTGAGGACGTTCTTTGTGTTTGTAATATCCTTTATGTTCCTGTTTTCAGGATTTGACAGAGTGGCTGAAGCCAAGGAGAACAGGGATAAAGAAGAAATTCAAGAATATATATGTTGAAACAAACAAAAATCATCTAAAGGGATCATGATTCTCTTACTGTGTGTAACACAAAGAAGTGCTCCCAAGTTCTCCTTTTTGTTACTGTACAGTGTACATATTAAATATACTAGCCTTTCACAGTCACCACTGTCTGTATCTTCACCAAAATAAACACCTATGTTCTGAGGCATGAAACTTAGATCTTTTCTTAACTCGGAACTGTCATGAGCACAACTGTGGAAAAATAAAAACCAGGGGTAGCCCAGAGGCTTGGGAGGCTTTGAGATGAACTGATTCCATCTCATGTAAGGGGGGGTCCATTAACTGATGGAGAAACAGCCCTGATAAAAGAGGTTGTCATTACATAAGGAAGGTGCGCAGTGCGAGTGCTTTGCTGTTGCTCTCTTTTAGCACAGGTGTGGAAAAGGGGGGTTAAGAAGTGACGAAACCTTTCAAGAGGTACATAGTGGAGATCCACTTCTCCTTTGCACTGTGTGATTTCGGCACTCCCATGTGACATGGTGGAATTGCCAGAGGATATATAACTCTAGCTCTCTTCTTTATTCTCTGCCATCTTTGGCCTTTATCTGTGTGATGGTCTTTCTTTCACAGAGCATGCTCTTCCCACTGATTTTTATTTCAATCATTTAGTGTCCATAGAATCAGTTAATTAGTGCCATCATAGCTACCATTTGTTGTTCAGTTACTCTGTGGCAGGCACGATACTAAGTGCTTGAAATACAGTCTTTAAATCCTCATGAACAACTCCGTGAAGCAAGTGCTTTTATTATCCCCATATTACAGATGAAGAAACTGAAGCTTAGAAAGGTTTTACTCCAAGAAACACAGCCACGAAATGGAGCTGAGATTCGAACTCCAGTTTCATTCCAGAGTTTATGCTATAGGCTCACCACTAGGCTATCCAGTCTTTCATGGGACCTAGCCTATAATAGGCTGTCCTGTACTCAGTCTTCAATATTCTGTTCAAATGACCAGGATGAGAATTTAAGGACTAGGGAGATGTGTGGGAAAAGGAGGCTGTACTTGCCCTTTCAATCATCCTGTATTTCCCCTTTCTCTCTCCTCCTCGCTGTCTCCCTCCTCTTTTTACCTTTTTTCATCCCCCCCCCTCATTCCCCACTTCTCCCCCTTCCATTCCTCCATCTCTGATGCCTCCTTCTCACCCACATTCCCCCATCCTCCTCCTCCACTCCTTTAAATTTCTGGAAGGTAATATTCTGGACATTTCCTATAAATGGAATCGTAATGTGTGGCCTTTTGTGTCTGTCTGGCTTCTTTCACTCAGCATAATCTTTTCAAGGTTCATCCACGTTGTAGCATTCCTTTTTATGGCTGAATAACATTCCATTATATGGATATGCCACAATTTGTTTATCCATTCATCACCTGATGGACATTTGGATTGTTTCCACTTTTTGGCTATTATGAATACTGCCACTATAAATATTCATGTACAAGTTTTTGTATGTACACATGTTTTCAATTCTTTTGGATATATACCTAGGAATCGAATTGTTGGGTCATACAGAAACTCTGTTTAACTGTTTAAGAAACTGTCAAACTGTTCTCCAAAGTTGCTATACCATTTTCCATTCCCATCAGCAATGTGTGAGGGTTCCACTTTTCTACATCCTCACCAACTACATCCTCACAAAAAACACTTTTTGATTGTAGCCATTCTAGTGGATGTGATGTGGTATCTCATTGTGGTGTTGATTTGTATTTCCTTAATGACTAATCATGTTGAGCATTTTTGTGAGCTTATTGGCCATAATTATGGGAAAAATGTCTAAATCCTCTGCCATGTTTTATTGGGTTATTTGCCTATATATTGTTGAAGAGTTTTCATATATATCCTGGGTATTACATCCCCATGACTACTTTGTAACAAACAATATGCATTTCTTAATCCCTTTCCCTTCTTTCACCCACACTCCCAATGTGCCTCCATCTGGCAACCATCAAAATGTTTTCTGTATCTATGAGTTTGTTTCTGTTTTGTTTGTTAATTTTGTTCTTAGAGTCCAAATACAACATAAGCAAAATCACATTGCATCTGTCTTTCTCTGTCTGATATACTCCACTCAGCACAACACCCTCTAGGTCCATCCATGCCGCTGCAGATGGCAAGAATCCATTCCCTTCCATGGCCAAGCAATATTCCACTGTATATATGTGTATCACCTCCTCTTTATCCATTCTTCACCGACGGACACCCATGCTGCCTCCCCATCTTGGCCACTGTAAACAAAGCTGCAATGAACATATGGAGGCACACATCCCCTCAAAGTAGCATTTTGGGTTTCTTTGGATAATTATCCAGAAGTGGGATTACTGAGTCTTTCGTTGTCTATTTGTATAGCCTTTCTTTTTTTTTTTTTTTTAGCTGAGCCATCCTGCCACCTGTTGGCAGCTCAGCGGCAGCTCAGCTCGGGCCAGACTCGAACCACTGTTGCTCAG